TTTACCTAGGGACATGACAGCCCAGGCAGTTGTGCTCATTGTCATACCCATTGTCGTTGTCATGTGCCTGAGAATGTGTTGAAAGATGGCTTGCAAGTTTGGTCTTCTGCCATTCATGTGCTTTAACCTGGTGTTGTTTCAGTTATTATGACCACATAGAGAATAAGAGAGCTCTCTTTTCCTCTCTCTCTCTTTCACTCTGTCTAGCTTTTTTTCTCTCTCACTCATAAAATATTATATATATATATATATATATATATATATATATATATATATTATATTTAACACAAGCAAGGTAACCCTGGTTAAAAAAAAAAATTAAATCTATGGGTAGTTGTGTGTCTGAGTTTCTGTGTTTCTATGCTTCTTTTTAAGATATACACATTTTCCTCAACGTTTGGCCAGGTTTAAAATAAAATCTTTTGACTAGTTTTGATAAAGGAAACTAATATATATATATTTAAAATTTATTATTTTATTATTTTATTGCAAAATCAGTTTTACAGAGAGGAAGAGAGACAGAGAAAAAGATCTTCTGTCTGTTGGTTCACTTCCAAAATAGCCATAACTGATGGAGTTGTGACAATCTGAAGCTAGGAGCCAAGATCCCCTTCCAGGTATCCACACAGGTGCAGGGTCCTAAAGCTTTGGGCCATCCTTAACTGCTTTCCCAGCCCACAATCAGGGAGGAAATAAGGTCTGCTGTGATTAGAACCAGTGCCCATACTGGATCCCTACGAATGTAAGTTGAGGACTTTAGCCACTGAGCTAATACGTAGGGATCAGGAGAGTAATATTTTACAAAAATATTGAATTGATATTAAGGTGCTCAGAAGTGCTTCTGAAATGTCTTCATGAATTTAAAAATGAAAGATGAGTACTAATGTCATTAGTTGTCCATGTAAAAGAGAAGCACTGTCAAAGAAGCAATGTTTTACTTTCTTTATGTCATATTTTAAAAGATCATTTTAAAGACAGAGAGAGTGAATGGGAGTAGGAGAACTTCCATTAGCTGGCTCCCTCCCAAATGGCTATGATAGCAAGGGCTGGGCCTTCATGAAGCCAGGAGCTTGATCCTGGTCAACAAGATGGGGGCCATCACAGACTGGGCTGTAATACCAGCTGGCACACACAAGACATGAGGCTAAGAGTAGATCTGGAAGGGTAACTTTGGAGACTCCCTTGCTAGATGCTGCTTCCACTGGTGGGTGAGAGAGCTGGGATTGTGGGTTGGGGCTTTCAGGGTGTGGGACTGGCTGGGCTGGTATCATATTAATTGGCAAACACAAGAGCCTGAATGGGTACAGGCCAGCTGAGCTAGGCCACAGCCCAGCTGACAAGTGCCAGGATTAGATGTGAGTCATCTCAGGCAAGATTACATTTGCCATTGGTAGGTTCAAGGTCTGGTGCTGGGAACATGCCTGACAAGGGAAACTGTGGGCATTTCCCTGCCAAGCTGTACCTATTGCTTGGCCACAGCACCCATTAGTTCATGTGTTACCTGGGTCTAGGCAACAGTATATTTGTTGTCTGGTATAGGTGATGGACTGAATCTGACCCTGCCCTGGCCAGTGTACACAAGACTCAAGTCTGAAGTCACCCCAGATGAGTTCCTGGGGAACTCTCCAAATGGATCACTGGAGTCTAACCCTAGAGTGCAGGTGTTGGGACTGTGTCTCCTTTGTTGCTGATGCCTGAGTAGTGGACATCACGGAGACATGACTGCAGCACATCTGGGTTAGCAGGGGATGCTTATCATGTCATCAAAGGATGGCTCATCTGTGGGGAGCAGTGAGCCAGAGCCGACCCCATGTATGATAGGCCATCACAAGATGGTGGCTGGTTGAGGGCCAGGAGGTGGGGTTGTTCCTGCCAGTAGGCAAAAAGGAAGTCACGGAGATAGGCTGATGCCCTTGCTGCTGGTCTGCGACACTCATCCAAATAGCAATGTCTTGGGGCCTATTCCAGACTGCCTGCCCCCAGACCAGCCAACCTGCGTGATGACAGGTGCTATAGTATTGCTCAATTTGTCCTCACATAACTCTGTGTCTCACATTCACTACAACCCAGCCAGGGAGTGTGAAGATTTCCCCTATTCGGCATGTTCTGAACCACAGGACCCATGTGTTTTGACAGGAGTTCAACACAACCTTACATGGCACACCAACAATCTCATCTTTTGCTAGCAGATATTGCAGCCCTTCCTAGCTGGGCACAGCCCACATTCTGTTCAGGCTCTCCTGTGTGCCATCATGTGCTCAGGCCTGTCCCACACAAATGTTGATTTATGCTGCAGACTTGCCTGGGCTGACCTGCCCTCAAATGTAGCCTTTGTGCTCCATATGGGGAAATGTAGACTTGCACATTGTCTCCCAAGTTCTGCCACCAGGCCTGTTCACAGCCCCATTTCTCACACATGGCAGCAGGGCAATGACCCTGCTTGGCATTATCTGCCCTCAGCCCAGGAACTTGCATGTGCTGGCCCCACTTGTTCCTTTTGCAATAACAGCTCCCATGAGTGTCAGATGTTTTTTTTTTTTTCAATATTTATTTTATTTTTATTGGAAAGTCAGATGCACAGAAAGGAGGAGACAGAGAAGAAGCACTTTTGTCTGTTTTGGAGCTGCACCAATACGAAGCCAGGAGTCAGGTTCAGTTGCCTCTACTGGTTATCCCAGGGACGTGCAGTGTCCCAAAGCCTTTGGCCGTCCATGACTGCTCATTCCCTAGGGCCATAAGCAGGGAACTGGATGGGGATTGGGACAGCTGGGATTAGAACCGGTGCCAGTATGGGATCCTGGTGTGTGCAAGGTGAGGACTTTAGCCACTAGGCTATGAACCAGGACCTTAGGTGGTTTCTTGTCAATTGAATTTTGTTGTCCACCTGCCTTGGCCTGTCACCATTCCCAGCTCTCCATGTAAACCAGCGTGGGCTGTACTCCCACAGATGCAAGCACACATCTCTATTAGATAATCTAGCCATGATTTCAGGTCTTTTGCTTTGTGGTGGGGGCTGTGGCCCATTCTCACATGGCCCATCCCTGCTCTGATACTTGCAGACAGCTACATGTACTCCATGTTTCATGTCTAAACCCTTCCAGTGTACCTGTCTTCCTGCTGGTGCAGCACCCAGTCTGTGGAAGACCCCAGAAGTCATTCTTCCCCTGTCCAACATGCCCTCAGCCACTCCTACTCCAATATGTACCCAGCCCTCCTTTTGCAGCAGTCAGCCTGGAGCCATGGTGGCATGCTTCAGCCTCGAAGTCCACAGCTTATCCATTTATTGTTTAAAAATCAAGCAAGAAAAAAAGAGAAAGCAACTCTGTTGGCATAGTGGGATAGTTAACATAGATTTGATATTAACCATGCCCAGAATGCCCACCAGCTACTAGTTGCTTTTCTCGCAGCACTGTAATATTTGCTAGGGACAAGGCAGCCTAGGCAGTTGTGCTTCCTTTTCCTTGTAATGTCCCTGAGAATGTGATAGAAGATGCCTTGCATGTTTGGACCTCTGCCTCTGCCTTCATGTGGTTGGACCTGTTTTAGTTTCAGTTGTTATGACCATGTACGGAATAGGAAATTTCTCTCTCTCTCTCTCTCTCTCTCTCTCTCTTTCTCTCTCTCTTATTTTAAGTCTCATTCATTCTGACACTTCTTATTCTAACTCTATGAAGATAAAAATTAATATTGAAAACAGGCAAAATAACCTGTTAAAAAACAATTTTGAATGTTTATGTATAGTTTTCTTTTTGTTGTAGATTTTGTTTTTGGTATAGAATTTGCTTAACGTTTGGTTTCCTATATTGTAACCACATTGATATTTTTTGATAAAGGAAACTAAGATTTTAAAAACAATTGAATTAATTCTATGCTGCCAGAAAATGGCATTGCAATACCTACAGAAAGCTAAAAATGAAAGATGAGAGCTAATTTGGCTTAGTTGCCACAGTAAAAGATAACTACTGTCTTACTATCTTGGAGTCATATTTTTAGAGAGAATTATTTTAAATGCAAAAAGACTGAGAGGGAGAGGGAGGGAATAGGACATGGGAAGATCTTCCATCAGCTGGCTCACTGCTAATTGTCCATGATGGCCAGGTTTCTCCATGAAGCCAGGAGCTTAATCCTGATGTCCCAGCTACGTGACAGGAATCCACACACATCTGCAGCTTTCCCAGAAGGATTATCCAGGAGAGGATTAGAAGGGGAATGCTGGGATTCAGTTGCTTTGAAGTGGGGTCACAGCATTGCCAACATGAGTTGAATCTTCTGAGTCATATTTTCGTGAAGGTTCTTACACTTGCCTTGGAATCAGTGCGGCATCTCTAGACATCTGGCATGTGGGCAGCACTCATTGGGTTATGTGGAAATGTATGTCACCGAAATAATCAGATTTCCTTGTTCTTTATACTTCAGTTACAATGAACTTCCACAGGATTTTATGCAAGTGAATTTAAGTCTTATTAAGCAATGATAGCTGGCTTGTGAAAGCTATTGAAAACAAACATAAGCTACAAGTTACTCTCATACCAGAAACATAGTGGGAAAAAGCACAAGAAGGGCAAGATTCCCGTAACTTAGTCCAACCTGGAGTAGGAAGATTTCTCAGAACTCCAATGAAGAAACAAGTGTTTTGCTAAAATTTCTGTCCCAGCACCAAAAATTCTGTCCCAGCAAAATTTAATTACATGGATTTAACAAATGGATAGGTATATTCTTATGACTTTTTAAAATTTTATTATCATACCTTTTATGGATATAAAGAGAAGAGGTCTAATGTATTGTCTAAATAAAATTCTAAGAAATTCTTCATATTTTACTTCCTCAATGGCTCTTCCTTCAACTTTTCTACAATGTTATTTAAACTTTTTAATCATAGTCATATTAAGTTAAAATAAAGAATGCTGACCTACCCGATTAAACACAGTGCAATGCAATGGGTCATTCATCTGCAGTGTAATCAGGGGAATTAAGCCTTATAAAAAATAAAGCCAAGAGAATGAAAAGACTAAGCGAGCTCTGCTTCCTCCTCTGATAAATGCATCACAGTGTCTGACATTGAGCCTGAGACATGAGTCACTGACACTGCTCAGCCCCAGTACTGTGTGCCCAACTGTCATTTATGGAACAACAGTCTTTTTATAGCCTTCTTCATGTCTGTGTTCCTCAGGCTGTAGATGAAGGGGTTCAGCATGGGGGTGACCACGGTGTACATCACCGAGGCTGTTGCAGTTGAGGCTGAATTTGAGGCAGCGCTGGCACTGAGGTACACTCCTATGCTTGTGCCATAAAATAGGGAGACAGCAGAAAGGTGAGAGGTACAGGTGGAAAAGGCTTTATACTTGCCCTGAGCTGATGAGATGGCACGGATGGAGGACATAATCTTAGAGTAGGAATACAGGATCCCAGACAGGGGACCTCCTCCCAAAAGCACAGCTGTAAAATCCATTATGAGATCATTGAGAAAGGTGTCAGAACAGGCTCTGTGAACCACCTGATTCAACTCACAGAAAAAGTGAGGGATTTCCAGGTGTTTGCAGAACCTCAGCCTCAGCACCATTAAGTTCTGCAAAAGTGCATTCAGGACACCAATGAGACAGCACAAAAGAACCAGCTTTACACAGAGCCGGGAGTTCATGATGACTGTGTAGTGCAGTGGGTGACAGATGGCAACAAACCGGTCATAGGCCATCACGGTCAGTAGTAAAATTTCTAATCCTATGAAGAATATAAAAAAGTACATTTGAATGATGCAGGCTGTATAGCTGATGCCTCTGCTATGAGTCTGGATGTTCACCAGCATTTTGGGGATGGTGGTGGAAGTGAAGCAGATGTCAGAGAAGGACAAGTTGGCGAGGAAGAAGTACATGGGTGTGTGGAGGTGTGGTTCTGAGAGGACGGCCAGGACAATGAGCAGGTTACCACTTACAGTGAACAGGTACATGGAGAGAAACAAAGCAAAGATGAGAGGCTGCAGTGCTGGGTCCTCTGAGAATCCAAGAAGAAGGAATTCTGATAACTGAGTTTGGTTTTCCAGTTTTATCTGTTGCAGGTCACTACCTGGAAGGTGTAGTTCAACCTGAATCATATGCATACAAAAGAAGATGTAACCAACAGAGCAGAAGTCCAAAATTCATGTTTTCCCATTCAGCATTGAGCTCCCACATTTCAAGAAGGCTTAGTTCCCATTTGGTCCTTTTTATTAGAATCACTGACCAAGTATTTCTTTTAATCCTCCATCTTCCCTAAAGCAACAAACACTCTCACATTTAATGAGATGCCCTTTGACAACATGAGAAATGTCTGATCATCAGTGGTTACAAACTCACCATTGATCTTCCAATAATTAAAGACATGACCAAGAAAGCAGGTGAAAAGGCAGTGTATAATGTGTAGCGCCATGTAGAACAAGAGAGATTGGTATTTAATTCTGCTTATGAAAGTTAAAGTGATCCTCACTCAAATGGTGTAACTGAAGGCAGAATTGGCATGACTTTGAATCATTTATGCACTCAGATAAAACAAAGAGAAATCATAAGACATCTCAAGTGATAAGAACAGCTCAATGTGAGCAAGTTGGAAATTTATATGAAACTGACTTATTAAGATTGAATCTATACAATCAAATGTTTGTAGTTTTAGTAACAGTGCAGCTGGAGCCCAGGGTGAGTTACTGATTTGGACAACAGAAAAATACAAGCTTTCCCGTGTTCTCTTAAATTTCACTAAGAGGGTCCATCAGAATTTCTTGGGAAAATGCAGCCAAATGATACAATAATTTTTGTCCATACATTTGGAGAAAGAGAAATTCAAATTTCAGTGATATCTCCTAAGCATGGGATAAAATATTTTTTGCACCAGACATTTTGGAACATGAAAAACTTACCTTTTTTATTGTTAATAACATTGTATTATGTGATACAGTTTTATAGGCACTGGGATTTCCCCCACCCATCCCACAACCCTCCCCCAATGGTGGATTCCTCCACCTTGCTGCATAACCACAGTTCAAGTTCAGTTGAGTTTCATTCATTACAAGCACATACCCAGCACAGAGTCCAGCATCTTATTGTCCAGAAACTTACCTTTTAAATACACCTTTTTCTTTCACTTATGAACAATACAAATATACACCACAGGACTCCATGGCAGAAAAAAAGCTACCAACAACGGCCAGTCTTTGTAGGTAAGAAGACAGTAAAGTGAAAAACAAAAGTGTCTAACTTGACAGAACCACAGGAAAAAATAAAACTCTCTCTTACCTTCAGAGCACACCAAGAAAGTTCTGAAATTACAGGAGAAAATGCGAATGGCTGGAAATGCAAGCTTATTTCCAACTCACAGATGACGCAGTAACTGTCAAGCAGGAGTCTTTGACAGAGCACTTCTTCCTGCATAATTAAGTTAGCATTGGGTCACGTGAGAGTACAATGAGAGAAGACCCAGAGACGGGTTTAACAGCAGCTGCTCCTATCAGAATTTCCATGCAGACATTTCCCCTCAACTCGTTTTTCTTGTTAATATGGGGATGTCAGTTACATCAAATCTTCACTGCCTGAATGGGCACCTTAGTGACTCAGTCTGCAGAGGCTGTTCCAGGGACAGAAATGGTCATTTTCTCTTCACTAATTGGTTTTCAGTGGCTATATGTACTCTAACCAGCTTATGCATCTCATTGTCTATTAGAATTGATCTTTTCCTACCCTCACTTCTTCATCAGCAATGACTATTGCCCTAGGACATTCAGATTTTTCCTCCCATTTGATAATCATCAACAAATGCATTTAATAGTTCAGTATAGCAGTCATCACCACAGACCTAGCCCAGGTGTTAGCTAGGTTATTTCACTTCTAGGTTAATCCCAGGGAAAGCTGTCTGTGTCCACAGCCTAGGACCTCTTCTGCAGTGTCTGCCAGGCTCACCTGCATGGGAACTGTGGGAAGAAGGTGACTGTATGGATGCCCAAATTCCTCCCTGGAAGGTGGATGCTGGAAACTGAAGCTCTGACCCAGGCACAGCAGAGGGAAGGAGGGAAGCTCTGGTCCTTGAGCCAGACTCAGGACCCCAAATGCAACAAGTAGTCTCTTTCTAGCCCAAGGTTGCAAAGTCTGAGGGAACACAGCAGAGGCACTACTTACAGCTCACGGCACCTGCTCATTGGGCAGCTCCCTGACCTCTAAGCACCTGCTGGGCCCCAAGAGACTCAGAGGATGACAGAAAGCTGTTTTCTGGCATTTGTCTCCCAAGAGACCATGATGGACTCAGCTGAATTCTCTTTCTCTTTCGCCTGCTCTGGGGCAATTGGAAATAGCTGCCATTTAGTTCTTCACTTTAAACTGTTTTGCTCAGTGAGACAAAACAGTTTCCTTAAGACAATTATGTATTTCCCATAATTGTTGTAGTAATTTCTGAATATAAAAATAATGCAGAAATGTGTAAAGCATCTTGAGATGCGATTGTTGATTCTACTCTTGGGAAACTGATGTCTCTAATTCTTTACTTGTTGAATATGATGTTTAGTGGTACACCAAGCCAATGACTAACGTTGTAGTTAATATTTTTAAACCCAACTTCAATTGTCATATGCCCTAAATAAATGAAAATATTTTCCTTAAAATATCTTTTAAAAATAAGTAATTTTAAAAGTGAAAAGTATATTTAAAAAAATAAAAGTAAAATCACACTATTCAATTTGACAACCTAAGAGTTGGATATAGTGTGGAAGTACATCGGTGAACCATTCCATCAGATGTCCTAGGACCCCAGAACTCATACACTCTCAGCTTACAGAGAGTACTAGCAGGAGGCACACTTCCTGTGAAGGACTGTGGCTGCTTCGCTGGCCAAGCATGGCTGAGAATGAGCAGTGCCTCCCTGTGCCTCCTTTCTCCTTAGTTGCCGGTAGCCAATCTTATCCCCTTCCTCAGTTAATTCATTTGATTGGCAGAATCCATTCCTGAAACATATGTTTCTTTCTTTCCTCTACGCTGATTGTAACTTCATTTCCTTGTTTGCTACCTTTAGAGGGGCTTTTGTGGTTGCCTGGGTAACCTGCCTAGTACATATATAACCTGTTGAGTTCAATAAAGTGTGCATTGCTTCATTGGCTTTGCATCCCTTGTGTCCTGATCTCACTCCATATTTATGGTACACAAATTTGCTCTTAACTTTTCAAACAAGTATTTAGCAAGGATGACAAAGTGCAATTGTGACAAGATTTATAAATCATGAATTTAACATCATGAATGAAGAGTTAGGGAAAGATGAAGCCTTCTGTCCAATAGGCAGGAATCTTGTCTGTCCCTCCCAAGAGCATTGACTAATGTGGGGTATGATTAAAACAGCATAGAAAAAGTATATGGGATAAAGCAAAAGGCTCAGAATTTTTCAATAAATATGCAAGATTTCAGACGCATGTCACATTAGTCTAGGTCGTTTTAGTTTATGTGGCTGTAGTATGTTGACACAATGCTTCCACCATCACGAGTAGATACAGATGGGAAGATGATAGAGTCTTTAGACCCTGCCCAACTGAGGGATTGGTTGGTTGGTTGGTTGGTTGGTTGGATTGTTGTTTCTTGTTTTGTTTCATGGTGCAGCTAACAGATTCCTTAACTCATGCCACAGAGTAAATGATGCTCCAGCAAGTAGCAGTAATCTTCTAGGCTGCCACCCAACACATCATTGGTCACACGTGGGCACAAATGTCTTCTCATGGGCACTCGGAGCAGAGCTGGCTAGTGATGGCCACAAGCAGGACCACAACCTTCCGAAGATTTGCTTCTTTTCTTGGCTCACATGAGCCCTATTCCTAGCCAGATCTCCTGCTAAGTCTGGGTGTTAGAGACCCTCTTGGGACCCTGACATTGTCAATACTGCTTTGAGGCATCTCAGGACAGACAACTACCCCAGGCCACGCCAGCTCCCATAGCCAACAACTCTGCAGATCGGAGGTTTTACAAATATTGTTTTGTCAAACTTTTAAAAAGTAATCATGTGGAAATTCCTTTTCAGAGGCAGAGAGAGAGGCTCACAATAGATGAGTTTAGGCCTGAGCCAGAAGCCAGGATTCAGCCCTGCTCTCCCATGGGCATGGCAGAAACAGTTACTTGAGCCACCATGGCTGTCTCTGAAGGGGTTATGCATGGATATTTTAAATCTTATTAAGTAGTGTCTTCTGAAAGGTTTTGCAAAATACCATCACCTCCAAGTGTCTCACCTTCCAGGAGTCTCATGGGATGAATTACACCAAGAACAAGTTTATGATAACATATTGTCCTACCAGGAGTAGGAAGAATTCTCAGAACACCAATGAAGAAACAGGAATTTTCACAAAATTTCTTTTCCAGCACTGAGGAAAGCAACATTGCATCAAGTGAGTTGAACAAATGGATGGGGATGTTCTTGTGAATTTTTAAAATTTCATTTCTTAAATTTCAACAGATAGAAAGAGAACAGCTTTCAGGATTCTCATAAATAGAATTTGAAGAAATTAGTCATATTTCCCTGCTTCAATATCCTCTTTCTTCCTTTTCTTCTATAATTAATGTAGTAATGTAGTTTAAATATTTTAATCATAGTCTTATTGTCAAGTAAATATCAGAATGACTACTGCTGCACAGGAGTATTGACAAGGGTTAATACAATAAACAGGTCAGAAGATGCCAGTTCCACTCTTACATATCTTGTTCTTATATGTGTGTTATATATGAACTATCATATATAAGAAAAAGCATAAAATATATATCTATTTGTTCTGATTGCAATAAAACATCAAAACATTTCACTATGCTGATTCTTAAATGTATGTTATCTAAAAAATAATCTCCTAAGAATACAGGAGAATATTGAATGGGCACATAAGATGTTATTTGATAAGAAATTATATCGAGAGAACTGTGGACCTTTGAATTGAGCACATTTAACTTCTTGCACTTCGAAGAATATGCATAAGACTATGCTAATACAGATTCCCATCAACAGAGCATGTGGTACAAACGTATCATGGAATAACACAGCCACGAAAAGAATGAAATCTTATCTTTTTGCATTAAATTTGGTGCAAATGGATATCAGTTTGCATACCAA